GCTGGGGGCGCGGCGCTGAGGGGCGCCATGCCCGGCAGGATCGGCCCCAAGATGGACGGGCGAGGCGGCCGCGTCCGCCTTAAGGCGCATTTCGGCGGGTGAGCGCGGGCGACGGGCGGGCTCGCGGGACGGGGCGCCGGCGCGGACCAACGGGGGCCCCGCCCCACGCTGGCGACCTCGGGGAGAGTTGGTGGCGGAGCGAAGGCCACAGGCTTGTACTGATGAAAAGTTCCTGCCAGTTGAGAAAACTTTGACGACTTTCTGTTGTCCTGGAAACTGAACCGGGGCGCAGACCCCCTCACTGCAACCCTAGCTAGGGCTTTTGCTTATTTTGAGACCCTGTGTTAGCTAAGTGACTTGCGATCCTCCTGCCTCAGCCTCCGGAGAAGCTGGGATTACAGATGTGCACTGCGCGGGGCCCGGGTTTAAAACTCGGGGTCATCTAAACTGACCCTGGATTTAAGGCGCCTCCCTTGAGAAAAGCCTGGGAGCCAGGCGAAAGCTGCGCGCGCGCGGCAGCGTCCGCCGCTGCGGCCGGTCGGACTTTGACAACACCGGCTGGCTGACCTGGCATCGGGGCTGCGGGCGCTGCGCCGTGGACTCGGGCGGCCGTGCTGCGGGGACCGGCCAGGGCCGCGGGAGGAGGGCTGCCGCGCCGGCGTTGTCTCGGTGGGCCTGGGCCGGGGGCACGCAGAGCCACCCGGCAGCCAGGGCCCAGACACCCCGGAGGCGGGAGCCCGACCCCCGCGAGCCTCTCGGCGCCCGCGTCCGCGTGGCCGCTGCCTGGCCACGGGTCTGTCTGGGCGCTTGGCCGTCCTTTCCTTGGGACGTTTCGGGACTCCAGCCCTCGCCTCTCTGGCTGCTGGAGGCTTCGGGTGCGCGCAGCGACACGGCCCGGAGAAAGAGGTGGACGAGGACCGCAGTCTCCCCTTCGGTCCGCGGAGGGGAGCGGCGGCCGGGGCGGCGGCCCGACCCAGGCGGCGGGCGCAGGCGAGGCCCGGAGGGTGGTCGGTGACGGCAGCTCGCGGCTTCGCGAGATGTTGCCCCCTCCCAGCCGGGGACCGCCAAACTGCGGGCAGACGCCCCGCGGGAAGTCCCGGGACCCGCAGCCAGGACCCCGGGAGCGTGCCAGGGCTAGGCCCTTGCCCGCCCGAGCCGCGCCCCCGCGCGCCGGCCCCGGGGAGCGCTTGGGTTACTCGGCGTAATTCAACCTGTTGCCTCCAGTTTCCCAGGCGGCGAGGTGGAACCCCCGCCCTCGGGTTCCGTGCCTCCCGTCCCAGCCTCCGCCCTGTTCCTCCCTTTCCCGGTCAGGGACCTCCCGTCCCTCCTCCCCTCCCCCTCCCC